ATAGAATAATTTCTATACGTAGTGATATTAATTAGCATAGCTAAGTAAATAATATCGTCTTTTACATTATGTAAATCGGCCTAATTAAGCGGTTAAATCTGTAGTCTAGATTTCATCGTTAAGAAGTCGTTAGCATCTGAAAGGCGTGAAATATCAGATAATTGAGACTGCGAAATACAAATGTGCATATGGTTTTAATTAGCAAGCAAGAGTAAAATGGAGTTGATCAAAATATGTTGTGTTATAGACATATAATTTAATTAGGTGTTAGAAAAAGCTTTCATTAATTAACTTCAAAAATACACGTTCCATTAATTATAAAAATCATCGTACAATATATTGGCTAATTAGCACAAGTTTGATTCGATTTGCTCTTAGAAACTTTTAGTAAAAGGGCGTGAACGTGCTACTTGAAATACGCTCATCTAAGTTAGAGCTAGACAATAAAAGTCTTCCGTTGTTGTGTACCGTACTGTTTATGTTAAAATTTTGACCTGTTTCAATTTGATTCTAAGTCACTGTTTTTAATTGCATCTGATGCAATCCTGCTTATTATATTTATGTACAAAGTGGTAGTATGGTGCTTGTTGAAATGGCAATATGCAATTTGATATGGTATTAATCTGACAATTATCAAGACCATTAGGCAGTCTTTAATGAATATACATTGTTAGCAGCTTCGAATTTTGACTATTGGACTTATAAAATAGTACTGTATAGGTTCCTTAATAAGTACGCGCATTGTATAGTATTTTGTGGACTAATATTCTGAAAATGAGACATGTTAACTGAAATAGAACTAGCTATGATTTCCTCTTCACAAGTAGTCGACAAAAGATAAGCTTTAAACTCTTATGAATCTAATTAATTTTAAATATTATTATTGATTCAGTCATCTAATTTTCGCTTCAGCGTTATTGATTACGTTAAGGAAGTGTTTGTATTATGATTTTAACCGTGGATTTACTAATTACTAATGATTGATTGATGGATGAATGAATAGATAAAGGTAGCCAATTTTAGTAGAAATTATGGATGTTAGAGAACGAAATGATTTCCATCTTTAACGTTCTATTTCCTTACCGTTGCATGCACATTAAATTGGCGTCAGAAAAATATCAGACAGGCAGCTGTTCGTGTTTGTGGAAACCAAAGAGTACCCCATCATTAATTAGGGTATAAGTAAATATTGTTCCTCAATATATCGCATAAAGGCACACATATAGAATATTTTATCTTACGTTGATTGACTATTTTATCAATTAAATACCTCACTTTTATCATGATTTAATACTTGCTAATATAAATAAATGCATAAGAAATAGATGTTGGTCTATTACTTCGTTATCAAAATAATAATTATACAGCATGATTTTCGATTGACTGTAAGCAAACATCAATCATTCGAGTATCCTAAAAAATACAAATTATGTTTTGTCCTCTTATAATACATTGTATTTCAATTATTTTTTTATCTACTTAGATTTGTTAGGATAATGAAATTTTCTACTTGAGCAATTTATCTCGTACTATTACTAGCATCTAATGCAAATTCTACGATACAGGCACGCATAATTCAATAAAAAGCAGTTGTTGTGTATGGTAGCTATTATACTTCAGTTTGTCTTACGCAAACAAATCATTAATTCTCAAGCTTTAACATCAACAGGTAAATTTTAGCGCTTCAGTGTAATTAAATATCTTGCAAACCTACAATTTGATAATGAATAAACAGATGCTCTTTGTAACGTGGTACCTATATGCAGTAATTTACTATACGATAGTTCAACTCTTTAGTTTGATACAGTCAATAAACTCGTCAAGAGTATAAGAAAAATACCTTTATTTAAAAAAAATGCATTTGACTACAGTTTAACAGTATTTGTCCAATTAAAGATTGGACTCAGGAATAAAAGAAGACCGCTATCAATTCTTTGCTTGTAAACAAGTCTATGTTCTACTAGCTTTACTATAGCATTCTAAATATTAGCTTTGTATGGCCTCCCCGGTCTCTTAGATATTACGATATCCATAGGCAGGTAGACTAATATTTAACGTCGATTCCCGATTCTCGCTCCGACTTCCGGACCTACTAATTGTCTCTAGCTGAGCATGCGAAAGCTGCTAATTAAACTTAGCACCTATATTCAAATAGTAGTCACTTTTTATGTTTATTGCTAATCGTAATCATGATATTTAGACTTACACGTCACACTATCTGGGGACAATCCGTAATCGACAGGATTTCCCCTATCATAATGTACATATTTACGGACACCTTTCTACACTCTTTAATAGTTGTGTTAATGAATACGCGTACATGGATGATTGAGATCATGATGCTATACGTAAAAATTCAAGTAGTGAAGCGGTAAAGGTATCCCAAATTTTTTATAAATTTAGCTAATATGATCAAGGTTAAAAATATTACTAAATGCAATTCTCTCACAATTGTCGTAAGTTTCGATTTTTTGTATATAGTAATGATTGAGATAATAAAATGTATTTATTTCGTGTTGAAGATACATTTTATTAGACATTTATGCGAATTATATACATTTAACTATTCATTGAAAAAATCGAAGGTATGATGAAATTGAATCTTAAATTGAAAACGATAAACTTGTCTATTTAAGATTCAGATATAATCATACTGTAAGCCTGAAAATACAATAAACTATCTAGCAATAGTAAATGCTTGCTAAGAGAATCAGGCCCTTAAATATTGTCTTAAACATAGTGTCTTATTTTATCTCAAATCGATCGACCTTTATACTGTATATATTTTGGTCTATTGAAGGTAATATATAATCTTGATTGTTTAGGACAAAAAAAATTTACATCAGTAGACTTTAAATACGAGCATCTCGTAAGTTTAAATAGCTGTTTTGAATTTTTTTAATGAGTAGGAATAGCCTAATAGTCTAATAGGAATAGTCTAAATTTTGTTCTACGTTTTAATCTCAGTAGTTGACAACTATCTGGCAGATACTTTGATTACGTGATGATCATCTTTACCATGTTTGTTGCCAATAACATTGAGATCCTACAAATATTTCCAAATTTCTGATGAATTTAGATGAAAATTATCATCATTTATCAACTTAGGAATTTAATGATGCTAGCTAGTTAAAATCATAGTTACCCATTAATTCTTTCATGGTTTATTTATTTCGTTTTACCCGTAATTTTAACTGTTTTATTTTATTTTAACGGACGTAATTGATCACATATTAATATTCATGATACCTAAATTTAATAACTTGATAATAAATTAAAAATAATTATTGAGACAGGTTTCTTTATCGATTTGTTAACAGATTCATCGTTATATTGAGATAGTTACAATTGGCTGTTTCGTAGCTTAAAAATTTGCTCACGGATGTATGCGTGACGATCGGGTGTTTATTTTCTTTACGTTTTTGTACAATGACGTGCAATACTCGGGCACTCGTAGTTATAGCACATTTATTCTATTAATTAACGGTTTTTTAAATTGCTCACAAAATTCTGCCTTAGAAACGTCTGGGCAATGACTAGTTTGTAATTTATTCATTATATAGTTTGCTTTTATATTTTTCGATCATTTCTACTTAAACGCTTTAATAAAAAATTATTTTAGATAAAAAGTTCTACTTTGAGTGGATGTACAATTTGTGATTTTACTCGTACAGTATATCATTCTTTTACAGCTTCCAACACATTATTGCATAAGGTATAACTTTCTTTCATTTTGTTTATGCTTGTTTTCAGTATACTGCGATAGGCTACCGGATGCACAAATTTTATTGAAATTCCATACAGCTTCAGTTTTTTTCAAATGCGGTGTGCTGCTCCTTTCTCAGCATTATACATTATTGTGATACGATAAATCAACGTAAACGTTGCAATAAGTCTCAGTAAGATCGTATTTTAAAATCTAGATAACTACGATAGTGATTCACCAACAAATTTGTTCTTTATGTATTGAGTGCTAATGATATTTTATGAATAATGGAAAAGCTTGGTGAAGCAAAATCTTGCATGAATAATAGGTATGATTTTAGCTACGGTAAACTTGGAGATATAAATGACGCTAAAGAACCTACCAAGGAACACGGATGCCAATCAGTCAGTCTGTTTAGTACGCACTTTGTACGTTCTTTTCACTTTTAACATGGAAGTTGATAGACCATCCCATGTTGTTGATCAATGATCAGCCTTTCTAGTGCATGATTTCTTAACCCTACTACATAACTGCTGCAATTAGCTAAATCATTACAGCATTGCTTCTATGCCAATTCGAATCGGCTTGTTATTCTCAAATTTTAATATTTCTAGCTCATTTATTTTGGACCATGATTGCAGTTCAAAATATAATACAATAAATAGTAACCCATTAAATAATAATAGTCTTAGCTATGCTATAATTGGGCACCACTGAAATTGGAGGTCTCTTTATAGTATGTAATTACTTAAGTGACGTATTTTCTCATAATTAATTAATTAAATTGACAGTACATGCATTTCGTTCTGTGATATGTTGCAAGTACACGTCTCAGAATAAGTATAAATCAAAGATTCTGCGGTAGAATTTCTCATTATAGACTATGAAAATAGAGTCATTCGGTGTAACGGTCAGGTCTGACAAGTCTATGATACCGCGTCCTATCGAATTGCCGCAATCTGCAGTAACTTCAACACTGGAGACATTGTATTACTTCAGATAAAGAATTGATAGTATCTACTTAGACATTTAAATAGCATAGAAATAATCTAGATTAATCTTGGCTGAGATTGCTGTTGAAGTGGACTAAATTTTGAACAAAATTGAAGCTTCAACAAAGTATTCCTAATCTACATGATGAAACATTCCAGAACTTAAAACAGATAATGATATTTGTGGGATAAATCAATGCAGACTGCTATCAGAGAATTGATTTATTTTAGCTGTAGAGCATTTATTAAAATGTAGTATTTTGCTATCGCATCATTCCTAAATATTAGTATGCAGCTCAAAATTACGATAACATATTATGACGAACGTAAATATTATTTTGCTGTTCAGTAAGTTGCTTTTTCCAGTTGGTGCGAAATCTTATAATTCGATTGGAAATGGATTCGGTATTCAAATTTTGTTGATTCTATAGAGAAATATAATTAGTGATGTTAATGTCGGCTGGTGATAAGAAAATTCCGTTACAAGATCCATTTTCAAAGACATTGGAGTGTAAGTCATCAAGCGTATTTAATCAGTTGTCTAGCTAAAATTTAGATATACAAATTCGAGGATATTTATTACTGATTGTAATTATTCTAGTTACGAATATTTCTATAATCTGTACGTATTTTACAAACTCCTGCAAACGCCTACTTAGTAACAATGGTAGGTAGTTTCTCATTGTAAATACAAGCACCATTGCGGCATGAGCCATAGAGTGGATACTTTAGAATGCTTATATATAAAATTCTATTAAAATTTTAATGCGCCTAATGGGATATGCCTATGTGACTGGCTCTAAACGCAATTTCAGTGTCGGTAAAAAATAAATTTTAAATCACGACTATCAAAAGGGCTGTAGTTTATTTTAATAGTAAGGTTTACTAGCTTATTAGAGTCTTAACACTTGTATTAAGATGAAGAGTAAGATTAATGATGGCCAACTACTGAAACGAAATACGTGTATTTAAGAAAGTTTCATCTATTCCAATTTTCAACTAGGGTGTCCCTATTTTAATCACGCCATTTGCTATAGTATTGAGTAGTCAAATCATGATCGTTTTCTTATCATGACAGTTTTCAATTAGTTATATAGGGGTTACTGGTCGAGATGGAAATATGCTGTCACTTTAGAACTAACAATTAGCACTATTGATAATTTACCTGCATCTGGCTATTTCTTGGAAGTTCTTTCCTTGCGTACTTTTCATAAATTGAATACGTTAGATACAATAGCAGCAATGCTAATACGACCAAGACGAAAATAACAACGCCCTGTAAAAGTATTGAACCGCAACGTTGAGAAAAATGTGATAAAGATATTCCAAGAGGTACAATATTTTTATGTTTTAATTTCATAGTGTGTTTTTAACTTACTATATCTGTCATTACATTCGCTATGTTACCAGGCTAGTATGCTGTATAATCATACCCAGCTGGCAGAGCATTTTAGCTATTCTAACAATTTACCTGATTGATACCCATATTGCGAGTTTGAAATTTACACTGGCAACGTAGGCAAAATATATCTGGTAGTCCGACAGCCTTGGAGCAGGTGCTATATTGAAAGCGATTTTGTATATATCAGAAATGTAGGATAAAGTGGTTCTTTACACAGTACTTCATCCTTTTGAGTAAGAGGCATGATATCAAACAATTCTATATGAAGTATCAATGATAATTATTGATGAAGACCTAGATATTTTATCGTTTAATCAGTTAGCAGTAATGACTTTTGTGAATAGTTCTTGACTAGATACAAATAATCGTTCCATTTTGCGGCTATAGCTTGAAGTCAATCTCATATCCAAGTAATTACAAGGAATCAATGCCATTTACTTACAGTACCCAGTGGCGTTAACACTAATTCTAGAATCAGTTCAAGTGGTACGCTTGCAAACTGTATAAGAATTACTAACAGTATCGGTATGTAATAACATCACTGTATCTTTAGGCACGGATGTGTCTTCGCACAATAACAGTAACTATTTTACACGTTGCGATCCTTGGATGAGACCGGAAGTAGGAGTTTGAAGACATTTTACGTTTATCATTCTATCTTGTGGCTGACTTTATAAAGCAGTATCATTTGGATGATATTATACATGAAAACGTATTGCAACAGCAAAGATATCACCATGAATTTACCAATTTTGAGTGGATTCCACCACTTTAATAAATACATTTCTAATCTTGGTGTACTCGGTATCTTTAGGACATACGCATATACATCGTGAATTGCTAAATTGACCCTATGGAATGATTGAAATTCAAGCAAAGTGTATTAGTCTATTATCTTACGCCTTAGTATTGAGAACAAACTATGAATGTCGTAGATGGTCCTATTTGTTAATGTAGAGTCTATAAATTCTAATTTGCTTTGGTTGTACAATGTGGGTATGATATTGTAGTTGATCTTTTACCATAGCAGTCAATATTGATTTGTGTCTATCGCTACTTTATAGACTATGCGTCTAACTCTAACAACATTTCAACATGTTCATCGTTGTGACATATCATAGCATCTCGACTAATAAGTATTGTAATAGCATCCATAGCGTAACCAAGATGCAATCGATCAGTTTAGTTTTAAGCTTTGTAACTGTAAATGATTCATTTCTAATTATGACATGATTAAACTCACAGCGCTTAATTTGATGAGCAACGCTATCAAGCAGAAGAGAAAGGCGTAATTCATTTTGGATCAGCGTGTCACGTCACCAGTTGACCTAGTGGAATTACAATAGGAATTTGCAAGCTTCCATGTACACTTATTGTACAGTAGAGCAGGATTTCAGAGTTGCACAGAGGAAATCAAAGAGAAAGTCAATCAAGTCAAAGTATGTTGGATAATTCTAGTGGATTACAGCTATACAATAATAAACTAGGCCTCTTTTTGAAAGACTTTTTGGGCCCAAATCGCCCCCATCAAGTAAAATAGGAAAGCTAGGATAGATGTCGTTGTCTAGACTCTTGAGGTGAGGGATAGTACTGTAGTCACACCACTGGTGTCAGTCCTATCTTGCTACGTCACTAGGGTCAAAGCTAGGATAGATGTCGTTGGGGACTTGACGTCTTAACTCTTGAGGTGAGCGATAGTACGGTAGTCACACCACTGGTGTCAGTCCTATCTTGCTACGTCACTAGGGTCAACTGGATGCGATTTGCTCCAGTTGATAATTTGCTTTCCATCTCATTAATATTCAGCGTTGGTTGAAATCTGTAGTACTGGACACCAGCACCTGCACAAATTACATCCTGCTGTATTACTGAGTACTGTACCGCACAGTACCACTAGTGTCCCCACCAACTGACACTGCGCAGTGCACCCTAATCGGGACTGGCAATTCTAGAGCACTGTACAGTGTACAGTACTGTACAGTGATCATCCTGTAGTCCCTAGTTCAGTACAGTACTGTACAGTACTGTACAGTGTACAGTACACTCATACTGTACTGTACTATACTGTATGTACTGTACTGTACTGTACAGTTCAGCTTAACGCTACAGTATGAATACTGTAGATTGACAAAATTCTGCCCAGTTCTCTTTTTATTCACCCTTTCATTCGCGCAGCCGCTATCGCAATTGCTCTTCGACTTATTGTTGCCGTATGGAAACAATACAGTTTATACGATCAGCAGCGTTGAAACCAGTTTTCGTTGATCAACTTCCATTAAATGATACCTTAAATGAGTCATAGAATATCATCAAAGAGTTCAAATGAGTACTGTGCTGCCCAAAAAGTAGGCGCAAGATGTCCATACTAATTCTGTATTTTGGGATATTTTGGGACTACTTTCGATAGCTAACAGGTAGGGTTTTTCGTCTGCGTTGCTGTCCAGGTTTTCCTTTTAACTTTGTCATACTGTTCCTTGAAGCCAACCATAAAGTTCACGATGTTACTGTACACTGAGTGTACAGTATGATTATTTTCGATGTCACCCCTACTTTCAAAAATCAATCAAAGTAGTATTCCGTTGAAATTCCTGTACAATATTTCTATCTAACGTAAGAATTGATCTCGTTTGGGCCGTACTGTACATAATAAATCTATCTTATCAGGGTGCCATCCAAAATAATCAGACTCTGTACTGTACCGTACAATTTCGTACGAGATGCAAGAAATACTTTGACTGCGCATGTGTATACCTCTGGCTCTTTCTAGTGTAAACATTATACAAGTATCCCGTTCAACACCGGTAGTGGCTAGTAGTGACCATCTACAGTACAGGTCTACAGGATCGACCTAAGCTTTTCAAAAAGTTGTTGTTTTTCTTCCTTCTACTTGCATGCATTGCACCTTTGAGGCCTATCGTCGATCGTGGATGAGCAATTGAGAGCAAATTCATTCCAGTAAGGCTGCTTCTTTTCAATGAGACACATTGAACAACATTTTTCTAATGGTTGAATTACATTAGGAGAGAGTTGAAGAATTGCAGTGCTGCCATTAGGAGTAATATTTTAGGGTGCTGTAGACGAGAGGGACAAAGATCATCAATTACCCAGGTGAGTCTTGCAAATGGTAGTGGTGAGAAAGCCCAATCCACAAGGGTGTATTAACTTAGATGGATGAATGACTAACCTACTCAACTCCTTTTGAAGTCATGTACAGTACATGACCTAAATAGGACTTGAGTAGCAGCTTATAGCGTTGATTTTGGACAGTCTTGTACGATAGCGTAGAAATGGCGAGTGTTACAGTAGGTTTAATCTATCATCCGACGTAGCAGTGTAATTTGAAGGAGGATTCTTGCCTAATTGTATACATAATATCTTGTACTAGTATGATTCTTGCTAGAATTGCAACGATATCAAACGAAACTAGACTTTGTTCGATATTGAAACTCTTGATTGTATCATACAAGTAGTCGTATATGTACGCGTAGAATAATAATTCTTGATGTTTGAATTCGTCATGATTCCATTTTTGATCAACTTGTATCAAGACGATCATATCAATTTAGCCTTGGTCGGTAGTTTTATTCTACACTGGATGAGATCGTCAATTTTTCTGTTGGTGATTACAAAAATACACTTTATGCAATCATCGATTCTTTCCATACAGTATACGCGTATATCAATAAAAGAGAATACACAACGGACATCTTCCTTGTGTTTGTGCTGCTTGCTGCTACTTTTTCCTATCTTGTAGATACAATAACTATCGATAGTAGAAATCATGATAATATAATTGTAACAACAACTTGCAGCCATGTTTACTACCTAAAATGAAGCGGATATTCCCAACTTGATCCTAAAAAAGTCCTTACACAATACAGCAACGTTTTATTCAAAATTCCTGCAATTGTCTTTTTATGGCCATTTTCATTGTTAACAAGCTACATAATACAGCGTTAATTTACATGGCATAGAAATGGATACTAGCTTATTTACTCTAGTTTTGACTCCTTCTTTCGCCCCAAATAGAGTTTATTTTATTATCTACACACTTACGCACCTGAGTTGTTGTTTCCAAGTTGCAATACTGCTTTGATAACGATTTAACATGGTAGAGTGAATAGGACAAGATATACAGGATATCTGGTCACGTTTGCTTGCTAACAACGAGAATAAAACCTAGTAGATAGAGATGTTCATATCGGAAATGTGATTGTCAACCATCGGGGAAATAATTTACTATGGCAGAAATCAAAAGAATATATTGATATTTAGTTAATTCAATGCGTATTGGAATAATTGCAGGATCATGGCATTTAGTGTGAGAAAAAGTAAAAAATCAAGTCAAAGGCCAGGTTAGAGCTTATGCATCAATACTAGGATAAATAAATACAGTAATAGTGGTTTATAAAGGAAGGATACAGTATGTACCGTACATATGGCACTCGCCATACTTTATGGCGTTGCTTCTTGTGAGTATATTGGTTCATAACAGTGTTAAATTATAACCTAATAGAATGATGGCTAGAATGTGTTGTTATTGCCGTTGAGCTTATAAAAATTAAATTATTATATACAGTATGCATTTATTATAATTATTGGATGATCTATTGTACAGTACAATGCTGGATTAAATGTTATACCTACTGCACTGTATTGATAGCGTGAAGTTTGACATCTATTTCATTGATTAGATTTATTGGAGTTCGTTTATATTATTAAGATTGTTATATACAGTACATTAGATAATGTTCTAACATTCGTTGTAATATATATAATTAATTATAGAGACTTTAAATTTTATTTTGTAGCGTATTTATTAGAAGGTTTCGATCGTGATGCTCTCCAACTAGGCAAACCCAATATATCAGAAGAAAATTTTGTACTAGGTAACAAACATTGTAACATTACTTTTCATTCTTCATCGCCGAACACGTCAACAATTGTTACTTATTACAGCTTTAAGATAATTTATAAAGTAATAATATGGCTACAATTTACTATTTTCTGTAATGCACCATACTAAAGATGAAGACGAGTCCCGTGAAATGCTTAAACCGAGAGCTTTAGAAGATGCAAAGGTGAAGGAATTGATCGAGGTACTGCAATAATATCGTTAATACTAATTGCATCACGGCTAAACCGTTAAAATGTTAGGCAATTTACCTTAAAAATATCAAAAAGAGTTTTATGTCACAATTTTATTTCGTCATTATTTTAAACTTCATATAGCGCAAGTAAAGCTTAAAGACGCTCAGATAACTGTTTATACTGCTGCAATTTTTAAACGCATCACCTTATTGTAATTTTAACATCAGTAACATAGAACTTTATTAATGACGCATGGTGTGTCGCTAATGTAAATCTTACTTAAACGACTGGATCGTTCTCTTAATGCAAAATGCTATTGATTGGATAGTGTCTGACTGATTGGATACATGATGAATTATCAGATAAACATATTATTGTCAGAGATATATTAGATGATATATACGATGGACAAGTACTTGCTATTCTTACAGGTAAAGCGATATTTGTATATTTCAAGTATCGATAACATCTTTTACATGGATTAATAGCGTACGGCTATATCATGATGCTATTAAAGTAATATAGAGAATTTACCGACTAATATATGGTTGAGATGATTCTTTGTAATAATATTTGGTATTAATATGGATAGAAAAGTTAGCCCGTACCAAACTAGATGTACCTGAGATTGCGCAATCTGTGGCAAGTCAGGTAATAGAAATTGAATTGTAATCGGTGAATATTACGGTGTGATAGTTTATTTAATCTATGATTGACAATAATGTCTCTTCTTATTTGCAATTGTTTGAGTAGAAAGAACGGTTAAGAGTCGTATTGGATTACGTGCATAGGTGGTTACATCCCGAAAGTGGAAAGAACTGGTCTGTCGAAAGTAAGTGATTTCAGATATTTAACAATAGAAAATGTAGAGAAAATAATTTTGAATTGAACCGTATTGAAGATTATAAATGTATGATCTAAAGCATAAAAGGATCTTATATTTTCCCAGTCTCTTAATGTGAATGCGTATTATTTCGGTTCCTTATTTTTTCTTTCCACCCTTGAACCTTAGAAGTTTACTCGAAGAATGCAATATCAATTTTGCAAATATTGGTTGAAATCTCCAAGCAAAGTCAAAATCCTCCGAAATTGCCTGCTAACGTGTCGATGCCTGTCATTTCTGTAAAGGTATACTTACTGAAAGTGGCTGTTTGAATTTTTTTGACACTATGACATTGTTACTGAACCTGAGAAATATTAAACATTAACAATAAATTATGGTTACGTTATAGATGCAGGATGGTCGATTAGCTGTAAATAATTTTAAAGAAATGATCACTGGATTCCCTCAGTCGTAAGTATAACGATAGCATATCAATGATAATTGATTACATCTTGCGTTATAAATACAGTAGTAAAGTGATTTAACGATTCATAAAATAAGCAAATTTCTCGTGCTAAATGGATTTTTATGCTATTTAGTGATACGAATTCGGGTGTTCAAGGTATGTTAGATTTTTATTTACTGTCTTTGTGCTATGTAGCGTAATAGCCAGGTTGTGTTTCAATTTTCTTAATACTATTTCTGTTCAGGGAGGGATGTCTTTGATGTCTTATTCGAACAGACAGATGAGAAGCTTCAGGTAGTAAAACGGGTAAGCAAAGTTGTACATGAATAATAGATAGTTTACATAATTAAATCTATTGTCTTCGTCTGGCTTAGATTATCAGTAATAGTTTATTACGATGTTTTTTCTAGTCACTCACAGCATTTGCAAATAAACATTTGTCAAAAGTCAACATAGAGGTATACGATATTGAGACTCAGGTAAGGGAACTATTGAAATAATCAAATTTGCTCAACAGGAATTTAATTTTCAGTTTTTATCATTGTAAAATATATGTCCAAGTTCCATAATGGTGTTAATTTTATCATATTAACTGGTCTATTGGAAGGATACTTTGTGCCCTTTCATAAATATTATAAAACGCCTAGTAATGAAAAGGAAAAGGTATGAAGTAATAAATTGGTGTATTTTGTGAATGTTCACCAAGTCATAAGGCTTAGTAGCGTTATCCGCAGCTTTAATTTTCAAAATTCTTGTGATAATAATAAATGTTATATACATCGTATTATTCCAGATACATAATGTTTCCTTCGCTCTTGATTTAATGGAACAGAACGAAGAGCTTAAAATCAGAGTTGTACCAGCAGGTATGTATGATGATGTAACAGCAAATAGTCTTAAAGATATTTATTAATTTTTGTTGTTGTGATTACAGATGTGGTTTCTAAGGATATTAAATCAACATTAAGGGTACTATATCACTTATTTTCATTATACAAAACAATTGATTGAATATGTGATACGGACTGATTTAATAAATTTTGTATTGCTATTTGAACTGGTTTTTACACTTAAATCGTGATACTGATTATGACTATGAAAGACTTTATACTATTCATCGAAGGTTATACATGACCTTAATTGATTTGATATCAAGTATTATTATTTTTTCGCAAAAATTTACAATTTGGTGCATTTAATATGATGCTACAGTTTATAAACTGCAGACGAAGCTAGAGCAATCATTTTAGTTGATTTTCTAAATAATATGGGAAGATATACCTCTTCCTTTTTCTCTATGCTTTTTGAAGTTATTATACCCGATTGAAATAATGTTAGAACAACATGTACCTTTACCTTGCATGATTAACTGGCTATAAGTTATCAACCGATTCTAACGATTATTAACTGGCAAAGAAGATGTCTATAATTTTGATTAAACGAGGTTGAAATCTATGTGGTAATGTGAAATCAATTAAGAAGAAATCTTAAGTAACAATTATAATTATAATAGCTGCTTTCTTTGAATTATAACGTGTCATGTAACTTGTCTATTGATATTGTAATGCATCTCATTATTGGAGATTTTCCTGACTGATACAAAAATTATATCTTTCGGCGTTGCAATGTATATATAATTTTGTAAATTAGTCAAAGGCACTTCTTTAGTTTTGTAATACAGGTGTTGTTTCTGGATTACCATATGTTATTAAAGATTTAAGGAAACGGCAATATAAGTGCAACTGATTAATATTTCTGCATAGTATAGTATTGACAATACATACCGTAATTAAGCTGTTATTTGTAGCTTGGCATGCATCATTGTACCTACGAAAAAATATCGAGTTATTATAAAATTCTCTTTCAATTTTCTTACTGTTGACGTTACTGTATCGTTTGATAATTTATAAGGCACAATTCCAGAATTAATATTTATCACTACTGCTTAATGAAATATGGTGCTTGTATTCTACATATAATTATGGAGCTAAAATTAAGGAAATTTATTCAGTTCCTGATCATGCTTATGGTTTTCATGATTTTAGAACCTGTTACAAACGTATTAACATAACTTTCTCTCAAAAACTTTGGGTAATAGGGTTATAAGAATTTCTAAATAAAATACTTGATAATCAATTAAAATGCGAGCAGATTAGCAAGTTAATAGATTAAATTAGATTGGATTTCATTTAATTCCCATTCATTTAATCATCTATTAACGTTGTGATGAGTTTAAATTAGTACGGTCAGAGGGTGGATACTCGTATGCAACGATTGCATATATTATATAATCGTCTATTCATATTAAGTTGTATGGGTATCATCGGTAAGTTACGTCTGTTGTTGTAGTAAATACATTAGTATGATATCTTTATCAACGAAGTAACAGGATGTTAACCCAGTTGATATGAAATAATAAAAAATTTACGCGGATATGCTTATGCTGCGTATTATATGAGCTACAGAATATATTGTTAATTGTTACGAACGAATTAAAACAATATTATTCTTATTAAAATATGCTGATAGCGCAGTAAATATGTTTACTATGACTGATAGAGTATACAAGTGGAATAGTAATTAATAAAGAGCGAAGAAGAAATAGAAGAAAGTTACGTTATATTGTGTTATATGTTAGTATGTGTACTTCATAAAGATTCCAGTTACCGTATCGTAGGCTAGGGAAGTAGTCTTACGGATTAAATTGAAATTCACTGGAAGTACTGAGTTGCTTCTTGTGTCGCAAGGGTAGTTGTTGCATACCGTAATAGTTTCAAGATAATGTTTAAACTAGGTAGTGTGTTAGCGCCGGATTGCTTATACTACTACATGAAAGTGATAATATAATCGGATTATAATTAAGAATCTAGAGAAATTATAACGGAGTTAAAATTGTATATACGAATTTAAGTAAGATGAATATAAACTAAGGATAAATTTATTTGATCTCATTTGATTTGACAGCGAAGATTGAAAGATACAAGGAGGGCCATTACATTTAGATCGGTAATAACATGAGCTGATACAGTCCTTTCTAATGGCATTTTGTTATGTTTCTATTACGGTATAATAATAATCATAAAAAAGTTTGAAATTCCATTAAGACGATATACTGTAGTATGTAAGATAATGTTTCTTACTTAATGGATGTAACCTATATCTATTCATAGCTATTTACAGATTTCCGTGTAAGGAAATATTAATTAACAAATTAATAAGTAAATTACTTGACTATAGAGAATTTAATCTAATAATTGGTATAGGTAATAATAAGTCTTAATATAAATATATTACGTTAACCAGTAGAATCCAATTAAGTACTGTTATAATCTAGGACTTGTAGTTGTAACAAGGGTTAGAACTCACGAACGAGAGAGAGAGAGAGAGCTAGAATAACTACGTTTATTTAAATTCTAAGAAATATGGGATGCAGTTTTACGGGAACTTTTTGAGGGTAAGAGAAGAGTTCATTTATATAGCATTCTCTAGCCCTGTCGACAAGTAAATACGTATATTATAAAGAGATTTAGATATCTATAGATTACTATAAAAAATAGAGTTAATGACATTAGTATGAGTATTTCATAATAAAGCTTATAATCTATCGTATGTGTAGTATTACAAACAATAATAATTAATTATTGTATCAATATGCTCTAACAGGTAAGCCTCAATAACAATAATAACATGTGGCCAATCTACCAAATAGGAAGAAGTGATAATAACATCCTAAATATAGCAATAGTACGAAATACCACAAGTACTCTTAACACTACAGTCTGACAAGTAATATTCATTAATAATAAGCCTGCCATCTTAATTGTGATACAACCTTTCTATACAAATACTAATAACTCTATTAGTAACCTATAAACAGATTTTAATAATATTAACATCTACCAAACATTTGTGGTGAGGAAAATCGTAACAGAAGGCTATCATTACATTCTATTAATGGATTTATAGAATTAACTGTAAGTATGATACAAGTAGCTAAGAAAGATAAAATTAAATAGTGGTTTTATACTCGATAGAGTGCGAGTAATATTAATGATTAATATGCCATATCATAATAATCATATAATAACTAAGTGGTAAATTATTGCTTGTTTGGCACTGGATAAAGTTGGTATGATTATATAAGAAACTCACCTCATTAAGTAAATTATTACTAATTTTAGTTGCAAAGTAGAGCATGTCACTATTTTATATAAAAAATTTCATTCCGATAATAGTGTCTCTTACCTAAGTATACTGCAAACTAAGGCGTACTTTTAAGATTAGTCAGTTAAATAGATACCCAGTAGTAGAATTACTGAGCAGAAAGCCACTTAGAGCAGTTTAAGGAAATATTACATTGTTGGTAATAAGCTGTTGCAATAGTTTTAAGTATTTGCATTTATTACCGCTGCTTAACTGTTGTCATCGATAAAATAATCATTTTGGTAATTAATTATGACTTTTAAAATTTCAATATACTAATGTACATATGTCTGCCTAATATGTACATTCTACGTTTACTTTCATAATAACATTTACGAGTAATACAACATTGTAATACACTTATCCATTAACTTATATCTTACACATGATGAGGATAATTTTAATATCTTAATTGGGCTTCGAGTATTGCAATTATTACTACAGTAGAGGAGTAAACATGATTTAAGTGACAACGTTCCTATTCAATAACTGATTAACTTAACTAACTTTAATAAAATACATTTATTGCATACTTCTATGTGTTTATATCGAAACTTAAAACCTTAATATTACAATCATATGTAGTAAAGGACTAAAAGTAGAGTCCTTTATAGCTTTTAGTATGTAGCTAGTATTATTTTACTGTAGAAAATACCTAGAAAGTGATAGTGTCTTTAAGTTTTACCCTGCCAAATCATCATGTCGCCATCTTTTCTTCTTCATTATTTTACAGGGTATCATATAGATTACTATAGAAGTAGCCCTAGAGCAATTACCTAATCTAAAGAAAGGGCGTTTGATCGTCTATTCAAACTGTAAATGAATCTGACTTAGTAATAAAAACCCTATCCATAGAGAAAGGGGATTTATAACGTGACAGTAGAATAATGTAATGTTGTCTATAATCGTACAGTTACCGTACAACCTGACGCTAAAACATCAACTGTCAATACTAAGCGATACTAATGTCAGAAAAGTAGTCGTAGTAGTCATATAAAATTTCTTGATAAGCGATTACAGTAATCTTTATAAAATCCGGATTTTTGGGATTGGGATTCCGGAACCGGTCGGATTTATGTCCGATATAATTTTTCTGTATTAATTTATCTGTTTTAATTTTTGGATTTTAGTTTATGAAAAATATCGTAAGAGATG